ATTAAAAAGATATAAGCAAGACTTAGGGAGATTATCTGTCAACTTTGAAAGGCTTGGGACTACTTCTTCATAATAATGACCCATGATTGAAAGTTCGCTAATTTCATGGATGTCCCAAAGAGGAATCCCAATTTCACAACTTGCGGTCACAAAAGTATTAGTATTTGGACACCAAATCTCACAAAGAGCTCTATAGATAGAGTTTAGACGATGAAAATCTTTTACAATAGAGCTTACTGCGGAAGCTAACTCGCGAAGATTCCTTTTGAGCCGGAGTTTTTAGATCCAAGTAGACCACTCCCAAAACTTTGGAATATAAGAAACCTCTCCACAACTAACAAGTGCATTTTTCCCTCGTATTTCTTTATTGTTAAACATTTCAGAAGCTACTGCCCTTAGGATGAGATCTATGCTTTGGAAATGGTGAAGCATAATATAAAAAAAGGGAAGATTGTTGCTAGAACAACTAGACTTGGTAGCGTCCAAATTCTCGTAGCCTTCACTCACGAAAGGCATATAAAATTCCGACAAAGGCCCAGATGGATGAGAAGAAGGAGATGTCACCGCGTTATGGATGTTGAGTTTAAGCTCGCCTCGTGTGTTGGACTGGTTATGATACTTCACATCAGTATCTTTAAAAAATATATAATTTTTGCCTTGATTTTTAAACTAGATGATTTCGTACATATCGAGATACAATTTATTATTAGAGTTTATCCCAACCATTCCTACCAAATAAATAAAATAAATTAGTACACAAAAAAATAAGCAATAAAAAATTGAACATTAAATCTTTTAAATTCATTATTTTAGATTTATCGTCTAAAATTACGAGTCTCCCAAATATGTAAATGGCCTGCAGCTTTGGACAATCGAAAAAGCCGGTCCTCGATTCTCAACACAAAGTGCCTTCAATGCTCGAAGGAGCCGGTTCTTGGTCCTCAATACAAAATGCCTTTGAAGGTCGAAGAAGTCGATCATTGGTCCTCAACACAAAATGCATTGGACGATCGAATGAGTCAATCATTGGTGCTCAATACAAAATGCCTTGGACCGTCGAAAGAGTCAATCATTTGTCATCAACACAAAATGCCTTGAATGGTGAAAGGTGTCAATCCTTGTTTCTCAACTTCCACAGAACAGTCTAAAATTTATAGCCTATCATAAACAAATTCCTTCTATACTCCCACACGAGAATTTAAATTCTCCACGAAGAAAATCTCGAACCTCAAAATCCTTGATCTACTCCAAAAGTCGAATTCCTGAAAAAAAAATGGAATGTTGGCTTCGAATTTATTAAAAAAATTTACTAAAAAAAAGTCAAAGTAAAAGGACAATTAAAAAAAGAAAAAGTGAAAAGTTACGTTAGGAAAAAAAAATGGAAAAAGGAAAAAACGTAAAAGGAAACCAATCAGTTTCTACCAACGGAACAGTCTCCGGCGAAAACAAATTATTTTTGTTTCTACCGGCGATGGAAACAAAAAAATAATAATTAAAAAAATGAGGTGTTGTGGGGGGGGGGGGGGGGGCTTTTTTTCACGCGGGCCGTTACCGGGCTCACATGTTGGCGGGCCGACCCGGCCCGGACCACCCGGATTGACACCTCTAACAATATTTATCAATAAAATATGTAAAGAGCATTCATCCTTCATAAACCTGATTAAATTATTTAGTTGTACTACCCAGTAAATTCTTGGTTGTACTACCCAGTAAATTCTTGGAATNTCATGATAAATAAATAAATCTTGAGTGGGCATTTGTACACATAAAATAATAATAATAATTAATTAATTAGACCGATTTAAATAATTAGCCCATTTGAGTTAATTAAATTGAGGATAATAAAATTCAAATGCTCATCCTACTTTTTCAAAATTCATAATAATTCAATTATTCTTTGTAATTAAAGATAATTGGGTAGTTACCAAATTGGTTAAGAATTTACCTATAAATAGGACCAAAGATTCATAAAATTTCATTAGTGAAGGTGCACGAGAAAATCAAGAAACACTGAAGAAATTCCAAAGTCAAAGGAAGAGAATAAACTATCTCAAGCCTAAATCCAACAAACATCAAGAAGATCAAAGTTTTCATTAAATCAAGCAACTCCAAGCCAAATCCAAGAAGATCAAAATCCCGAAATGTAAGTCCAAGCCCCGAAAATCCAAGTGCCAAACAAGTCAAGTTTTCAACAAATCTTGAAGTTCAAGATTCAAGTCACGTGGCTTCTCATTTTCAAACATTAAAATCATTAATAAGATGATCTCGCAGTTCTGCAGACACAAAAAGATCAATATCCATTTGTATTTCCCAAAAATACAACTTATAATGTTTTCTGTATTTTAATACTCAAAATTTGTCATGGACAGTTGATAATAAGATAAAAGGGATTTTAATTTTATGTCAAATGAAAACATAGTTTTTAGGTAAGGATATTTCGAAGAAAAAAATCATTGATTTTCTCTCTTGGACTGTTGTTTTGATATTCTATTTATGAGATCATCAATCAATCTTGAAAGGTACTTTTGTATGCATATACGTCTATGATATATGCATGCATATTTATATATACATGACTAATCTCATAAGCACTAGCTTTTGTGAAGTACTCAGGTGACATAGTACATTCAGTGGATGTTTCGTGAGTTAAAATTAGATTTTTAGTAAATTGTGATAGAAGTTTTTGAAATGTGTTGTTGAAAAACTGTGGAACTCATGAAAGATGTGGTTAATATTGATTATTTGACTTTGACTTAGATTGGAATCTGATTTTAATTCGAAACAAATAGGGCATCAATAGGCATGGATGATAATATTTGGTTACAAAATTGATTACATGGTCTTTTGTTAGGGAAGATTTAATAATTTTATCTATTAATTTCCTCTTTTCTTTTAATTATTTCAATATGCACAAATAGAAGTTTTCAAGAATTGTAGTGCGTTTGTTGTTTACTTATTTTGCTTGGTTTATCTATGTTTCTTGTGTTAGTTTGATGTCATTCAAGTAATATTTCATAAACGACATTATGAATTAATATTCGATTACTCAATTATTCACGTGTTTTAATTTGTAACAATAATCTAAAGTTTCATGAAATATAGGATGTCATAAATTGTATACTTAATGGTTTGAGTATAGTGAGATATATTTTATGACGTGATCAAAATATATATCGTTTGCAATCAATACATGAAGTTGGACGTTTTATGTTGATAAAATTGCATTGTTCTTGTTAAGATTTGTCTAGATCTTGGAAATAAGAATAATGACGTGTTTGGTGCATATTAAACGGGGACCACGTAGATGACTTATTTGTGACCGCTCGAAATGAAACTCTATTTGATTATCGAACGAGTCACATAAATTCAAAGCAAGTGATGTACCTCTGATTGCTAGTTCAAGTTCTTTGAGGTACAAATGAGTGAAATCTTAATTGGAAGATCGATATATGTACTTTGGGAATCGGGGCAAAACTATTGGAGATTATATAATTGCAATAATGGAATCCATTAATCGTCATGATGAGACGATCGTTACTCTGGGGCATTCTTTAAGACTTTTGAACTTGAGCTTAGTAATCTGATGATAGGATCGTTGGACTCTATGTTTTGATTTGTTCACAATGGATTTACCTTATGAAAATGAGACTTGGAGGGCTATACATGTTCGAAGGGCAAAATAGTAATTTTTTTCCAATTTCAACATATTGACAATCAAACGGGGGTTGACTTGTGGAATGTTGATTGAAGGATATTTTTATCGAATCATAATTTGCCTCCATAATTATTGCCCGACTCGAGAATGTAATTTCGAATTTTTGATAGAGCAAGTCGGGATTACTAGATGTATCTTCATTAGTCAAGAGTTGACCTAATTAGAAATATCTGTTGGAGCTTGGGTCATGTAAGTCCAGTTAGGTCACTCTCTTGGATGTCTGAGACTTAATTAGCCTACTACATTAAAGTCTAAAGGAAATTTTGCATTTATGAAACCTTAATTGAGTATTATAAATATGTTCTTTGTGATTAGGGTTAGCCACATTCTCACATTTTTTTTCCAAAAGGGAGGCACTTAAAGGTGGAGAACAAGTGACAAGATCTAGGGAGGAAGCTTGGCTAAAAAGGTGGATGGCCATTTAAAACTCCTTCAAGGTTTATTATCTTACCCTTTTGTCTGAAGATTTATAAACAACATTCAAATAATTTCAAGGTTATGTAAGATCTATTATCCATTTGGATTTAATATTCAAAGGAAAAAAACAATGTACTCTTGTGATTAAATTTAAAAACAAACATCTTGCACAGAGATAGTTTATTTGGTTTGGTTTAATTGTTTATTTACTGAAAATTCTCAGAAACCCTCTAAAATTTGAGAAAATGATGGAAATTTTTGCTCCAAAAATGAATATCTAAAAGGTTCTTTACTGAACATTTGCTTTTAAATTTGTTGTGTTATCCTAATTTGTTCTCCAGGCAGAATCTGTAATTTAAGTTTTCATTTAATTTGCTGGAAAAAATTAGTTATGAGGCATCATTTTTGCACATACATCAGGGGTTTCTTAAATTCTTGATATTGAAGCTTCTAAAGCATTTCATATCAGGGTATCTAGAAAATTACTGCATTGTTGTCCACTTTCCCTGAATTAGTCGGACATCCCATCAAATAAACTCTTGATTTAAATAAAGTACTGGAATTGATTGCTGTGATCATTCACCTTCATTAGGATTATGGGACCATTGTTTGGCCATTTTTTCAGTTTTCTTGTAGCTCGTGTACATCATCTCAGGATGACATAGTACATGTCAAGTATTCTCTGAACAATCCAAAATCCAACATATATATGAACTTTTGCTATACCAGCATTTATTAATTCAGTTAGCAGACCATCATTTGGGCTGTGGCTGATATCATCTTGCAATTATTGTCACCATCCACAAAAATATATGTTGGTGGTATTGCTGTAGAAGGCCAATATGCTCTTATTTTTCTATAGCAGAGAATGAGATCAGAGAAACTAGATCGTGCCCCTCTGCTACCCGTGGTTCAACAGGTTGGCGATAAAACATCCGATGAAGGCAGATCGATTTCTGGGGCTATATTCAACATCTTGACTGGAATGGTTGGTGCTGGAATTATGTCGATTCCGGCAACTTTCAAGGTCCTAGGTGTAATCCCGAGCTTTATAGTGATCTTAATCATTGCTTTCTTCGTGGATGTCACCGTGAAGTTCCTATTGAAATATACTCACTGGCCAAGTCTAATACTTACGGTGAGTTGATGGCAGAGTCATTTGGGAAGTTTGGATCTGTTGCACTTCAAGTTTGTGTTATGATCGCCAACCTCGGTGCTTTGATCATCTATTTGATTATCATTGGTAAGAAGCAATTGATTGCTTTTATTAGTACCTAGTATAAATTGATTAGATTCAATCTGTTGATCATTTCACCTATTTTATCTGTTGCTGACTAATGGTTATTGCATTTGATGATAATTTACAGGAGATATCCTCTCCGGAAGCCAAGCTCAAGGATCATTGCACTTGGGCATTTTACAGGAATGGTTTGGCATCCAATGGTGGAACTCGCGTGCATACTCTCTCCTTGTCATTGTACTCTTTGTCTTGCTTCCGTTGCTGCTTTTTCGACGCATAGGTTAGTAATGGTAACTGGTACTTTATAAAGAATGTGTTGGTCCCAGATTTTGAAAATTTGACAACTCAACGCTTTAAAACCAAATACACAAACAGAAATAACAAGAAAGTAAACGAACACAAAGATTTTTTTGGCCAAAGGCCCCGGAGGTTCGGCGACCGCTATCTAACGTCTAATTCCCCGTTGAGCATCCGTTAGGATTAAGCTCAAATTCACTAGTACCGCCAAATATAGGCAAAGTTTCGATTACAAGAACACAAAGCTCTCAAATCTCTCTTAATTATAGAAATGTTCTCAAGAAAGTTCAATCCCACAAAAGAGAAAAACGCTAATATTTTCTCCCTTACAATAACACTCAGTATGTACGCAAAAAATCACTCCAAAGAATATACAGAGAACATGAAGAACTAAGAGAAAGCTACTAGTTTTCAGAATGAAACCCTGAAGTCATCAGCCACCATTTTATATGAAATAAGGCCAATTATATAATCCAACGGTTCATATTCAATCACATGTCAGTCATTCAGCAAAAACTTCTTTTCAATTAAAAAACGCATTCAATCATTATTTCCATATTCTTCTACTTATTGGACTAGCATATTGGGCTGACAAATTGGGCCATAGTGACAATCCAACCGGTAGCAGACATGGCAGATATTTGGGCCTCACAAAATTTAGCAACCCAACTTCTACATTCTCCACTTTTGTTGTATTTTGTGATTGTACTTAAGTGGATTAAAAACTTAATCACCTCAACTTCACATGCTCTTATTACCTGTTCGCAAAGAAAAGAAAATTAACGAACTTCAAGATTCAATAATCACAAAGAGTCAATGAATTTACTAAGTGATATTACCTTTGTACCTGTATCAGCAGGATTTACCTTAGTATGAATTTTGATCAACTTAATATCACCTCTATCAATTATACCTTTAATAAAATGATATTTAACATCTATATGCTTAGATCTATCATTAAAAATTGAATTTTTACTTAAGAAAATGGCACTTTGATTGTCAAAACAAAGCTCCACATAAGTCCCAACTTATTTAATAAGCCTTTTAACCATAAACCTTCTTTTACTGCTTCAGTTGCAGCTATATATTCATCCTCAGTTGAAGATAAAACAACTAGTTTTGAAGTGGAGACTTATAGCTAATGCATGTATCATTTATCACATAGAAATATGCAAATGTTGATTTCCTATTGTCTAAATTTTCAGCAAAATCCGAATCAACATAGTCTTTCAATTTAAGACAATCTTTATCAATTTTAAACATAAGTCATAACTGACTTGTACCTTTCAAATATTTGATCAAATTTTTCATTGCTTCCCAATGAAGCTCACCTGGATCACTCATGAATCTACTTAACACACTTACAACATAAGCAATATCAGGTCTATAGCACACCATTACATACATGAAAGATCCAGCAGCATTGGAATACGGTACATTCATTATTCTTTCAAATTCATCTTCAAATTTAGGAGATTGATCAAGAGATAATTTCACTCAAGCAGACAAAGGCAAACTAACTGGTTTAGCATAATGAAGGAAGCATCTTTTAACCACATTTTCAATATAAGATTTTTGTGTTAAAAACAGTTTTCCATTAATTCTATCCCTTTTTATTTCCATGCCTAAAATCTTCTTAGCAAGTAACATATCATCAACATATAAGAGAAGATAGAAAATTCAGATTCTCCATTGTCTTGGGGCCTGTTTTAGGCCATACAAGGATTTATTTAGAAGACACACTAAGTTCATATATGGTTTCATCTAAAGAACCATATAGGAAGGCAATCTTCACATCAAATTGTTCAACTCTAAATTAAATTGAGCTACAATGGCATGTAAATAGAGGTGTATTTCACAAAAGGTGAAAAAATTTCAGTATAGTATATTCCCTCTCTTTGTGTGAAACATTTTGCTACAAATCTTGCCTTATATCTTCTATCATTTGACTTTAACTTACCTTCCTTAATTTTGTAAACCGACTTGTAGTCAATCAATTTGTAGTCTTTAGGTTTTTCTACTAAATTCCAGGTTTCATTCTTATGTAAGGAATCATTTTCATCTTTAATAGCTGCAATCAACTTAGAAGATTTCTTACATGATACAACTTCTTCAAAAGAAGTCGGTTTTATATCAGAGGGATCAGATTCAACCTGAATAGATACATAATCTGCAAATTGATATCTAGAATGAGGTCTTAATTTAAATCTTCTCTCTCTATTCCTAGCAAGTTGATAATCCTATAAATCATGTGTAGAATTCAAGTCTTGATTATCATCCAAATTTTCATCATCAGAAATGATTTGTGGTTTTGTTTGAGGTGGCTCCACCTTAAGCTGAGTCTAATCATTAATATTTTGCTCATCAAGATTAATCTTAGTAATGAAATCATTATCAATTATTTTTTATCCAGTTTTGTCATCAAGACATGAGAAATCATCTTAATTAAAAATCATGGACCTACTTATTATAACGTTATAACCTCTAACATCCTTCAACCACAGTCTATAACCTTTAACTCCTTCAACATATCTTAAGAAAACACACTTCAAGGATCTTGAGTCCAATTTGGAGTCAATATGGTGTGCATAAGCTGCATGTCCGAAGGTCCTGAGATAGGAATAATTAGAAATTGATCATGACCAAACCTGCTCAAGAACTTTGTTGTTTAAGGAGTTTGAGGAACATTTATTTATCAAATGGCACGCACCCCAAAATATTTTTGGTAAACCTGAACTAATCAGCATACATCTTGTCCTTTCAAGAATGGTTCTATTCATTCTTTCAACAATTTCATTCTGCTAAGGAGTGTAGTTCATAGTTCTATGCCTCAAAATTTCATGTTTGCTGCAATATTGATCAAATTATGTATTGCAGAACTCGAGTCCATTATCAGTTCTTAAAATCTTAATCTTCTTACCAGTTTGATTTTCAATTAGTGCATTCCACTCTCTAAATATTGTAAAGGTATCAGATTTAGATTTTAATAAGAAAATCCAAACCTTCCTTGGGTAATTATATATTATAAGAAGATAGTATATGTAACCAGAAACAATAGGTATAGGGGCAAGTCCCCATAAGTTACTATGTATATATTCAAGAGCATTTTGAGACTTATGTGTGTCTATCTTGAAACTCAACCTAACTTGTTTCCCCATAATACAATGTTCACGAAAGGTTAATTTTTGAACACTGTCCTTTCCAAAGACCCATTGACATGAAATGAATTTTACAAATTTTTCACAAGATGACCAAGTCTCTTGTGCCATAACATGAACCTATCAGTATGCGTCACTAAGTTTAGAACATTGTTGAGTGAGACAGGTTCAAAATTTATAACATAGATTCCATTAGTTTTTGGTGAACAGACAATAAGGTTCTGGTCTCTTATTATGTTTGTGAAACCATTCTCAATCTCAATTTGATATTTTTCATCATCTAGAATCCCTAAAGTTATGAGATTTCTTCTTAGTGCTGGTACATACCTAGTATGTTTTAACATTATATATTGACCATTTTCCAGTTTCAAAACAATATTGTCGATGCCCTTAATTTGACATGACTCATTGTTTCCAAGTTTCACATAACCTCCATCAAGATTGGAGAAGTAGGAAAACCAATTAATGTTGGGACTTATGTGAAAGGAACGACCTGAATCTAGAACTCGGTTCTGATCGGACCTTTCAATTGAAGTTACATAGACTACCCCAACATTAGCCCCTGGTTATTTATAAGATGCAGCAATGGCTAAAGAGCCAATCACCGTTATCGGTCTTCTAGTCTTTTCCTTTGTTATTACCATATTTCTTCTTAATAAGATTTTTGTCCTTGTTGTAATTGGATTGACTAAAATTACTCACACCATTGACTTAAGGTTTTTTATTGGATGAGATATTCTCAACATGAAAAACCTCTTTATGTTCAGATTTCAATTCCAATTCTCTGTTCAAAACAGAGCTGTGAATTATATTAACAGTCAAGTCACTTCTACCATATTCTAAAGCATTCCTAATGTCCTTATATTTCTCTCCTAGTGCATTAAGTAGACCAACCACATTGTGCTCATCGGAGATATTTTCACCACAGTTTATCAGATCTTGTGTGATCCTATTAAATTTGTCCATGTTTTCTTCTAAGTCAATGCAAGGATCAAACTTAAAACCAAAAAATTGTCTCCAAAGAAAACACTTATTTGGTAGAGTCTTAGTAAGATACTATTTCTCTAAAGCAGTCCACAATTCTATAACAGTTTTGGTTTCCCCTACTTTCCTAATTACAAAATCAGATAAATGGAGAAACATGTACTCCATGCTAATTCATCTTGTTCAGTTATCTTATCAACATATAGATCTTCTGACCAAGATTCATCAATAGCCTTAGCACATTTTAACTGTAGCATAAGAGCCCTAATTTTCTGCCGCTAGAGACAAAAGTCTCATTTGCTATCCCAAATCTAAACATCTACTTTAGAAGTCATGCTATGCAACAATATAGTAATTGTGCTCAAGTGAAATATAAACAAGAATATATCAGACATAACAATTTCAAGTAAACCAATTACAAGATAGAAAATGTAATCCAAATATGGGCAGGAAAAATTGATAGCCAACTATACTAACACACAATAAGCAATAAATGGAGAAGATTCAAGGCATATAATTTTAAAATCGTTTACATGCAAAGGGTCATATCCCGTAAATAGAACACATTTAGGATATCAACACGAAGTTCACAATATGCAGCAGTTCAAAACGTGTATATGAATTTAAACTCAAGCAAGATATTACAACACACACAAAGTAGCAGAATATAAATTTCAAGAACCAGTAAAACATTTTTGAATTTCCTTAACCGAATCTCTAATTCCTTTAGATTCTAGGGTTCTCCCACAGACCCCTATGCAAAGGTAAATTTAGGAGAGGTTTTGGTGATCCTCTTTTGTTATTATTATTTAAAAAAAAAAAACCTTAACCGGTTCTTTTAAAGGAAGGGTTAGGTATTCGTTAACAAAACTGTGAACATAAAAGAAATACTCGAAAAATGCCAAGAATCAACTCCAGGTTCAGAACGAATGAAGTTTTTCAAAGAATATTAACAGATCGTCTTAGATCTAACATTTACTTTAAAGCAGAAGGGTCAGTCAAAAACAGATCGAGTTTTAAAAACAAGTTTGAAGATGGATCAAAAAATTTCAAGCTCTAATACCACTGTTGGTCCCAGATTTTCAAAATTTGACAACTCAACGCTTTAAAACTAAATACACAAACAGAAATAACAAGAAATTAAATGAACACAAAGAATTTTTGGCCAAAGGCCATGGAGGTTCGGCGACCGCTATCTGATTCCTAATTTCCCATTGAGCATTTGTTAGGATTAAGCTCAAATCCACTAGCATCGCCAAAAAAAAGGTAAAGTTTCGATTACAAGAACACAAAGCTCTCAAATCTCTCTTAATTACAGAAATCTTCTCAAGAAAATTGAATCTCACAAAAGAGAAAAACATTAAGTCCATGTTTGTCTACCATTAATCCAAAAAATTGTTTGCTACAGTAAGATTCTCCACTACACATTCACCCAATAAAATATTCTACACACAAACCAATAAAGTTATTTTAATTTTCAACCATACATTCTCCAAAAAAATACTATTCATTACACTAATTTTCTCCCAATAATGGGAGACAAACAAACTCTAATATTTTTCCCTTACAATAACACTCGGTATGTACAAAGAAAATCACTCCAAAAAATATACAGAGAAGATGAAGAGTCGAGATAAAGCTGTTCTGAAACCCTAAAGTCATTAGCCACCATTTTATATGAAACAAGGCCAATTATATCATCCAACGGTGCATATTCAGTCATATGTCAGTCATCCAGCAAAAATACATTTTTCAATTAAAAAACGTGTTCAATCATTTTTCCAGATTCTTCTACTTACTGGACCATCATATTGGGTCGACAAATTGGGCCATGTGACAATCCAACCGGTAGAAGATACTTGGGCCTCACAAAATTTAGCAACCCAACTTCTACAGAATGTACAATCTTATGGCCTTCTTGTAACTCATTTATTCATGTTTTTCATTTATGTTGCTCAAATAGTAAGTTTTGACGCAACGGGAAAAAAGGAATTCAAACGAAATCCTTAAGAACACAAAATTTGGAATCCACCAAATTATGAAAAAATGAACTCACGAATTTTATTAATTGGAAGATCATAAAAAACGATGAATTAACCATTTATTTATAAGGGTTTATATGAAAACCTAGTTTAATCAAACTAAAATTGCAAAGTATTCGAAATAAATTAAATTACAAAAATAGTACTAAAACTTTAAAAGCAGTTTTCGAGTTTTAAACGATTTTGGATGGCCAAATCCATCGTATATTACAGCATAATTGTGGGTTCCACTTGTCTTATCGTTCTCTTTTCGAAATGGTATTATGAGCCCAAATCAGAGCTCGACTGACACACTTGCACTATTATGGTATTATGGGCCCACACTTGTACTGTTGCCTTTTTTTCTTTTTCGGTCCATTCAGCTACCTGTTCTAAATCAAGTTTACTGCCACACTTGGATTTACATTAATTCTTTAAGGGAGCTCATTTTATTATTAATTATTTCAACCTTAGTAATGATGATTTGGATCAGATATTATACAAGGGTGAATAAATACATACCATTCTGTACATGAAAAACAGAAGCAGATTTTCTTAGAATCAATTGGAATGAATGACTAACTCTTTTACAGCTTGTTATCTACAGATTCCTTAAGGCATGCCTCAGCTTTATCTGTTCTACTAGTGGCATTTTTTGTTGCCATATGCTCTGTGATGGCAATACATGCAATGTGGGTCGGGAAAACCCGAAGACCGAGGCTCGGACCAGACTTTGCAAGTGGTGTCTCATTTATTGACCTGTTTACCACCATTCCAATCTTTACAACGGCCTTCGGCTGCCATGTAACTAGTAAGATTATAATGTGACCCGATTTTATTATTTATTTAAACTACTTGACTAATCTCTCGACTATAAATCGATGCGTGCAGTTCATCCAGTCAGAGCAGAGCTTGGTAGACCTTCTGATATGAGGTCAGCAGTCCGGATCTCTCTGGCGCTATGTGTCGTAATATACTTTACTGTTGGCTTCGTTGGGTACTTGCTGTTTGGGGAATCAATCATGGCCGACATGCTTGTGAACTTCGATAAAAATCCGGATTCTCTTGTTGGTAGAATTCTCAATGATACAGTTAGGCTGAGTTATGCAATTCATCTTATGCTGGTTTTTCCTGTGATGAACTACACGTTAAGGGTTAATGTAGACGAATTGCTCTTTCCTAATAGACCTGCAGGAAGTGTGAGATTTTTCTCTCTTACATGTATTCTACTTGGATTCATTTATTTGGCAGCAATAGCTATTCCGAATATATGGTATTTCTTCCAGTTTAATGGGACGACGACTGTCATGTGTCTCATGTTTATATTCCCGAGCTCAATCATTCTTAGGTACGTGACACAATTGTTTGGTTGTGCTTAGTAGTTACTTTTCATAAAAGTAAATTAGCATATTTGGTTGTGCTTAAAAGCAGGTGGAACTTTCTTTTAAGTTACTTATTTTGCCAAAGTTAATAACTCATTTAATTGTGTTACCTTCATTGTAAAATGGAACGGAGAAGAGCGAAGAAGATTAAGCACTTGTTTGACATCCATTATCTTTCTCAGTTTTTTTTTCTCTTTCTTCGTTTCAACCACACATTCTATCAATAAAATAATATTACACATAAACCCAAAAATTCTTCTTACTTTTTAACCACACATTCTTTCCATTAATCACTATTTCAAAATTTATTCTTCTCCAAAATGGGTGTCAAACACAACCTAAGAGTGTTTAATGGTTACTTTTCATGAAAGTAAATTAACATGTTTGGTTGTACTTAAAAGCAAGTAAAACTTTCTTTTAAGTTACTTATTTTGTCAAACACGATTTTCAAAATTATTTCTTCACTAATAAAATTTACTTTTCTAGAAAGTAAGTTACTTAAATTTAAGTAACTTACTTTCTAGAAAAGTAAATTTTATTAGTGAAGAAATAATTTTGAAAATCGTACTTTTTAGAAATGTAATTTACTTTCTAGAAAAGTAAATTTTATTAGTGAAGAAATAATTTTGAAAATGAAAAGTAATTTTCGAGCACAACAAAAGAATCTTTTAAGACTTATTTTCACTTACCTTTTATCTTATTATGTTAAATGTGATTTTCAAAGTTATTTTTTAACTAACAAAATTTACTTTTCCAAAGAGTAAGTCTTCGTAAGAGTAAATTTCGAGCACAAACAAAAACTCTATAGGACTTACTTTCCGGAAAAATAACTTTGACAATCATGCAGGAAAAATAAGTAACTTTGCTTTGCACTCGAGCACAGCAAAACATGCTCTTGCGGCTTTTTATTGTTGCCCGATTATGTATTTGTTTCATCTCTTCTTTCTCGTTCTTGCCTCACCTCGAAAATTTCTTGCAGAGATGTGCATGGGGTATCTACCGGTTGGGATAAGATATTGGCAGTATTGACGATCGTGCTAGCTATTGGGACGAGTTTGGTTGCCATTTTCTCAAATATCTCCGATTACTTTTGCAAAAAATGACGTGAAAATGTTGACAGTTCCTAATTTGTACGCCACCATCACAGTATTCAAGAGCAGAATGTTGGCTGAGTCTCATGTTGATTTTTTATAAGACTTAAAAATTTATAAAACTTCACGAATTGTCAAGATCTTCCTATCAAACTATCAAGAAAATAAATTATTACGGAACATACCTTGATCCATTGATTTGATACTTGAATAACTAATCTTGAAGGTTGAACTTGCAATTCCTTTAATCTTGACTTCTAGGTTTTTAATCTTCATAGTCTTGTTCTTCAATTTGATTGTCTCACTCCTTCTTCTTGATTCTTGAATTCCTTTATGCGGTTTTTGGATATTCCTCTTCTATATGCTTTTACTTTATATTCTTGTGTTGATGAGGAATTATGGACTATAATCCTATACATAGTTTCCATATGTATTCGACTTATCATCAAATACAACCATAATAGATCTAGTCTCTACATATAATCAAGGCCACACTTTATTTAGATGCTCAAAGCCTAATTACTTAATTCTTTATTACATTACTTTAGTTTTATACTTAACTTTAAGATAATCTTTATACACATTTTTAATCACATATGGAGGCCCATATGATAGATTAATATTTTGGGAAAAATTCACAAGTAAGAAGATAACTATTGCCCATTTCAAATTAAGAAAACATGTTTCAAATTTCAAAAATCAGATTTTTATTAAAATGTATTTATGATTTAATTAATTAATTATATATTTATTAATTAAATATGTTAAAGTCACATATTTATACAATATGGTCACAGATTCACGATTTAACGAGTCACATATTATTTTTCGGTCACAAATCATAATTTTTATACGTCATAATTAATTTACGGTCACAGTTCAAAAAATTTATAGGTCACAGTTTGTTTATCGGTGGTCACAAATCAAAATTTTTGTAGATCACGAATTATTTCGAAATCACAAATTAATAATTTTATAGGCCATAGATTATTTTATTGGTCACATATCAAAAAATTACAGGTTACAGTTATTTATCAGTCACGTATTTTCAAATTTATTGGTCACAAATTAATTTTTAGTCACAAATTGTCGAATTTTAATGTCACGGTTAGTCCATTATGCGGTTTTTTGTGACCACCACCTCACCACTACCACCTACCGCATCGCCTCTGCTGCCACCACCACTAACACCGACACCGTCGACCGCCACTTGTATCACCACTGTCTCACCAACAAAAAAACCCCAAAAGCCACTGTACTGCCATCTGGCCACCCCACCACCACAACCACCATTTCCAACCAACATCCATTCACTGTTAATAAAAAACCATACCAACACCTTACCCTCGCCGCCACCGCCACAACAAAATCCACCGCCATCACTACACTTAACACCGCACCCAACACCGCACGCCGCTGTAGCGACGCCGCTGTAGTGGAGGGAGAGAGAGAACGAAGGTAGTGGATTTGGCTGTCGATCGCCGCTATAGCGATCACCGCACCCATCGTCAATCTCCGCTGTAGCGACGCCGCTGTAGTGAAGGAAGAGAGAGAATGAAGGTAGAGAGAGATTGTGGTGGTGACGAGAATGAGAGATGAGGGTTTGTAGAGAGAGAGGGAGGGAATGGAGAAATGTAGAGAGAGATAAGAAAGTAGAATTAATTAGGGTTTATGTTTTTTAAATAATTAATTAAAAAAACTTCTGATTTTTGAATTAACAAACTTTCAATCTGATTTTGGAAGTTGAATCTTAAAATATAGGGTTGGATGTAATTTCCACTAATATTTTTCACAACCATCTCCCACTTGGGCTTTATAAGTGTGTATAACTTTATGAGCTCAAAACTTTTTCTAGCATAACTAAAAGTATCTCCGAACAATCTTGTCCATCAATTATGTCAATATATGATCAAAGCGATTTTCGTTACAAGTATCAAAACTAAACCCTCAATGGTCACGCATATCAACACAATCAAATTATTTACATCAAGTATGGATGTGTGTCTTGAAAATTACATGCAATGTGATCCAAACATGCATATTTCCAACTAGTTCAACCTTATTTTTTAATACCTTATACTTTAATGAGATCAAACCAAATTTTTTAATCAGAATGAAAATTGAACTGAATACTTTATTACTAAAATTAACTTAAATGTGTACGAACAAAATCATGCGTCCAAAAAGACAACATCTAAAATTACAAGCTCCTACTAAACTAGCATACCATCAAAATATACAACACCCATGTGAGCAGTGTATTCATAAAAGACCTTTTGTGGCAGAAGTTTAGTGAATGGATCTGCTATCATGGAGTTTGTCCCAATATGTTCTATAGTAACCTGATCAATCTGAACTCTTTTTTTAACAACTATGAATTTGATATCTATAAATTTAAACTTTGTTGAACTCCTATTGTTATTTAAATACAAGATTGCTGACTTATTTTCACAAAATAATTTAAGTGATCTTTCAATTTCATCCATAATTCGTAGCCCAATGACAAAATTTCACAATTATATTCCTTAATTGGATGCCTCATAACATGCTACAAACTCATGCTGCCATAGTTGGAGAAGCTATCAGTGTCGCTTAACACTCTTCCAAAAACTAGCTCCTCTGGTCAGCAGGAAAAAATAGATCGACATGGATCTCCTACTATCTTAACATTTAGCAAAATCAGAATAACCAATGATCTCCAATTAGTCTGATTTCCTGTATGTGAGCATGGAATATTTTGTTCTATGTAAATACTGCATAACCCTCATGACTGCTTTCCAATAATCCATAACAAGGTTACTTAAATATCTGCTTAACATTCCAACAATAAATGTTATATTCAAACGTATACATACATGCGCATACATTAAACTCCCAACTGTTGAAGTATAGGGAATTTTCTGCATCGCCTTTACTACAAGGTCATTCTTAAGGCATCGATCGAGACTAAACTTTTCTCCCTTAGCAATAGGGGTATCACTAGTTTGCAAGCTTGTATCCAAAATCTCTTAAGTACCGTATCAATATAGCTCTTTTGTAATAATCATGGCGTCTTTACATTCATCTGATGTAACTCAAGATCAAAATGTGCTACAAATGCCATTATAATTTTGAAAGAGTCTTTTGTTGAAATTGAAGAGTCTCTTTGTAATTGATGTCTTTCCTTTGAGTAAAGTCATTTGCAACAAGACTAGTTTATAACTTTCACATTACCCTTCAAATCCCATTGGCTTTAAATATCCATTTGTAACCACTGAGTTTCGTACCTTCAGACAATGTGACAAGTTCGCAAACATCATTGTCTTTCGATGACTTTATTTCCTCATTCATGGCGTCAATCAACTTTTGATAATTATTCATTTCCATTGTTTGATGAAAGTTGATAGGATCTTCTTCCATCAATCCAATATCATCATCATATTCTTGGAGAAATACTATAAAATCATCCGAAATCGCATTTCTCCTTTCTCTAGTGGATCTCCTTAATGACATTGCTCTTGAGGTTGTTGAGTTTGTTCTTCTGGAACTTCTGGAACAATATCTTGATTGTTTATAGGGGTTTCTGAAATACTGTCTTGATATGAAATTGCTTTTTGATCAAGATTTGGAGCAAAAAGTTTTCCCTAATTCTGATCATTATCAATTGCAACAGGAAAGATATTTATGTATTCCTCCTCAAAGACAAAATCTCTAACCTTATATCCCCCCGCAAACTCCACATCCTAAAAAAACCAAGCATTCCGCTTTTCGAAAATTGATTTAGTAGTGGGATCATAAAATTTATAACCTATTGATCTTTCAAAGTATCCAATAAAATAGCAACTGATAATTCTGGAATCCAGTTTCTTTTTGATGGCCTATAAGATCTTGTCTCAACTGGATAACCTCAAATCTGTAAGTGCTTCAAATTAGGCTTGTTACCTACCTAAAGTTCATAATGGGTTTTGATGGTTGCTTTACTTGGAACTCTATTGAAAATATAAGTTGCAATTTTTAATGTTTCTCCCCAAAGAGATTATGGTAAGGTGGAATGACTAATCATATCCCTTACCGTATCCTTAAGAGTTTTGTTTGGTGTTTCAGCAACACAATTCATGCTAGGAGAACCGGCATGGTGTACAGAGGGATGATTCCACGTTCGTCTAGAAATTTAGCAAAGGGCCCTGGACATTGTTTTCCCGATCCGTCATATTTGTCATAGTATTCAATACAATGGTTAGACCTAACGTATTTTATTCTTTTACCGAGTCGATTTTCAAATTCAGCCTTATAATCGTTGAACATGTTCAGTAATTGAGATTTCTCATGAATGAGTTACAGGTTGTCACAACGAGAAAAATAATGTATAAACATAATAAATTATTGTTGACCATTCTAAAAAGTAGAAGGGAATGACTCGTATATATTCGTATATATTAGTTATAAGATGTCCGAAATCTTATTGGCGCCAATTTTCTTAAATTTGTTTGTTTCCCCTTAATACAATTTACATAAATACTTAAGTTTGAAAATCAAGGAATCAAGAATTATTTCTGACAAAAAAATTTATTCTCTTTCAAAAAATGTGATCTAAACGTTTATACCATAATGAAGCAGAATTCTCATTAGTTAATTTACATCTAATACCTCGCAAATTCACATGCAATGTTTCGTTATAAGAGGCAACCGAATTAAACAAGTATAGATTATCATATCCAAATAAAGAATTGGTACCAACAAAATTTGAATCAAGAAAGAGACAAAATTTATTATTTACAAACGAACAAGAATAATCGAATTTTTCAAAATAGAAATAGAAATCAAATTCCGTCTAAAAGACGATACCACAAAAGTCTCTTTCAAATCCAAATAAAACCAATCTTTAATAAAAATCTAAACGTCCTTATAGCCTCTACTTCAACTTATTTGTCTCGCCCACACAGACAAATCTTTTAGCATCATTTAGCTTTCGTTTTTTCAGGGGCAACCCAACATAGACACACTTACATGAGTAGTGTCATCGGAATGAATCC